TTTTCCATGCCCTACCAATTGAGAACAGGGCCTCGTTTTCTGTCCCATTTGAATGACTACTCACACTTTTTGTCAGTCCTCCCAGCAGTGCCCCTGACAAATAATAACTGGGCTTGAAAAATTGGTTAAGTTCTTCTCATGAAAATATCGAGCAGATGTGAAAATCATAAATATTACCCTATTCAAAATAAGATAGTTATATTGAAGGAAATAGGAGGTGACTGACTCCTGTTTTCTGAAGTTGGCAACAACCTCTAGTGACCCAATTCTGGCCTCTGGCCGATTCCTTTCGAAATGGAATAAGAACCTCATTCTCGGCCAATGCCAGAATTCATTTTCAGAAAAGTTTCTTTTCAAACTCCTTATCAAGTAGACTGACAAAGACTAAGGCTACAAATAAATTCAATAAAACTTATGTTGAACAGATAAATTAAACCATGCTTTACATGAGGTATAATACACATGTAAGGGGAATGGTTTCTTTCAACTGTAAACACCACGGGGTACAAAGATCTTGCAACATTTATTTTTACAACAACAAAAAAATCATAAGAATGGGTTTTACGATATTTTGTTTGAGATTTCACTAAATAGGTGTTTAAAAGAACACCTGTTCTACTTGAACATAATAATAAGAAAATATGTCTACATCTTTCTGACCTTAAAAAACCTTTTATACACGAAATGTTCTAATTGATGGCTCAACAGTTTACCACTATCCAACATAGTTTTTATTGAAAAACAGATTGAATGAATTCAATTATAGGTTGTGAGAAATAGCCCTCCCTACATCCCAACCACTTCATGACTGACAAGATGAATGAAGCTTCCCAGGAAATTATCGCAGTAAGATCATCTGAAAAGGAGTTTAGAAGCATACTGAGTAAGAACCCGTATTTAAACATTCATGTTGCATTATAGTATTTCATAATGATTTTGGGCAGCGTCAGTCCTGTGGTTAATTGACTGGACTCTGGAATGATCTCAAGGATTTAAATACTGTTGTGGATGATGAAGTCTTTGTGACTTTTACTTAAGTCCCGCTGTACATTGTGTGATATAACATCTGTGATCTAGAGCAGACTGTCTTGAAATGGACCCGTGAGATGGCAAGTACAGTTGCTGATTTTGTTTTGAGTAATGCTGAAAAAATTCATTGCTGTTTCAGTATTGGCCCAAATTCAGTGAACCAGCAAACAGGATTGTCCAGAGCAACTGAGTTAGCTGGTAATGACTGCAAGCCTAATTGTGGACTGAGGTAACATCTCTGTGTGTTGATAAGCCTGACTGAGAATTGTCAAGACATACTATCTGCGAGTTGGCAAGGAGGTGTTTTGGGAGGAAAATCCAAGATCCATTGTCTACACTACAGTCACAAGGACTCCTCAATTCAGATACATCAGAACATTACCATGTTAGTTTAATATGACCAAACTTTAAAGTATTTCCTGTCTTATGCACAACACCTATCAATAACATACTAAAATAAAATGTTCTTAAAATTAGTTATTTCCAAAGTACAAATCTTCATAGAATCACAACCTCAGCAAAATTATTTTACAGTATTTATTACAATTAAACAAAAATTTTGTTTGGTTCACAAGGACCCACAACTCTAGAACCAGGACAATAAACCTGACTTTTTTTGTGTGAATTATCAAAAAATGTATAGATTTTGGAAGTGCACCTCGTACTCAGTGTGTTTACAAAGACTGCATGGAGTACAAAAAGCTTTAGTTGTTAAACAAATAACATGCTCGAAAGAATGTAGGGTGGGTTAGAAAACTGAAACATCAATATATAAACTTGTCATATTTTAATCAACGCCACCCAAAAAGACTCAATCCTAAAATCACTCATTTATCACAAGATCATTCATTTATTTGCAAAGTTCAGTGACTGGATATGTAGGAAAACAAATGAGGAGTAGGTTACCATCAATGGCTGTATCATGTTTGATCTCAATGACAAGAACAACTAATTTCTATAAAAGGTTTTTGTTGTCATTTAAATTCCTGATTCAGTATTAGTTATTTGAAACAAGCTCTCAATCTGCCTATTGCAGTTCTTTTTTTATTTTGGTTTCAGATGTTATATTAATTATTATTTAGACATTTAATCACATGACAAGACTATAATCAACTCCCTAGATCATCGGATGGCACAGATGTAAATGGATTGGAAGTGATAACTTCGCACAATATTTCAGTCATTTTACAGACTGACATGGGTATTTTTAGGTGAAGAATCTTGCCTGGATAGCACTGTTTATCCAGAGATGCTTCTCGGCCCTTGCCCGATACGAATCTGGGTCATTCTCTAAGTCGAGAGTCCAATGCTTTTACCAATAGATTACCAAGAGATGTAAATGGATTGGAAGTGATAACTTCACACAATATTTTCATTCATTTTACAGACTAACATGGGTATTTTAAGGTGAAGAATCTTGCCTGGATAGCACTGTTTACCTAGAGATGCTTCTCGGCCTTTGCAGGATTCGAATCTGGGTCATTCTCTAAGTCGAGAGTCCAATGCTTTTACCAATAGATTACCAAGACTCTCAAATGCAAAAAGAATTCTAGCAAACTAATGGAACGTTTAATTTGTTAAATAAAATAAGTTTTTGATTTCATCCAATATAGCAAATGGTTTTTCATTGAAAGTTACCTTAGAATGTTTAATCTGCTGCCGGGATAGATTTACAAATGTTGACATTTAAATGAATGGAAAAGGGTTTAGCAACACTTTACCCTGGACATTACCTAGGGTAATCTATGAATAATCACTAATTAAATGTGTGAAGCAATAGAAGGCAAAGTTACTGAAGGCTTGTTGCTTTGATGACTTGGGCTCGTCTTCAAGAGCCTGGAGAAATGTTTGACGACAAAAATAGCACTATGTTCCCTGTATTTTTATGTTTTAAACATAGTTTTATTCTGCACAAAAATTTCTCTGATTTGGAAGTATTTACATGCCATAAAATTAAAATTTTAAAGAATTTAATCTTAAAAACACAATAAATACAGTTGAATTTATAGTTTTTATGTGTAAAAATGTTTTCAAATTAACATAAAAATTGAGAACAAAATTTCTTGCTAATCTGGGGTTAACAAAATACATCAAAAACTGACAAGCTGGAAATATTTTAACATAAAAGCTGTGTTATGAACATTACCAAAACGAGGATATTATTAATATTGATTTTTGTCAAAAAATTTGTGATAGTTTAATCAGTCAAAAGTGTTATAATTCTACACTGTGCCTTATTACATTAAAAATGTTTCTTTAAAACAAATATCTTGAGAAATCGTTGATACAGCGACAAATGAGGCAGGAATTGAACAAAGCAGACATCCCTCCCCCCCACCACCCTCTTTATGAATTGTTCTTAATATGACTAGTCTGTTTCAGATAGATATTATTAACACTCCCATTTCCCATCAGCATTAGATAGTAATATGCATTGGAAAATAGAAGGACAGACAGAAAAGAATAGTCCTTTCAAACTATTGGCTCCTGACATATTAAACAGTTTATAAGGTTATGATATCAAGTAAAATCTTTTCAACTTCTTTACTATATTAGTCCGCCATCTTGCTTTTGTCATCTTTTGAAAAGAGAATTTGAATGAATAAGTTGCAGTTGTCTTAAAGCTGTTTGGAATCGAACATAAGTTTGCTCTGACAACACTTTGTCTTTTTATTTGTCACCCAATGATGCGATACACAAATAGAAGAAGACAGAAAAACGGTACAACAATGGATTGTTTTTAAGAAAATTGCAAAAATAAAGCCAACAAAATTATTGGAATTAGCTTTTCTAAGCTTTTAGCCCCAAAAAACTCTATGCGAAAATTATAATAAAAATCCTAATATAATATGTGATTAGTGTAAACTCTATGCGAAAGTTATAATAAAAATCCTAATACAATACAATGATTAGTGTAAACTTATTGAAAATTTCAAGTGTAATTCAACAACCATAAAACAAATTTACTATTCACATAAAACATGAAAAGTATTCAACCTCAATCTAATACAAAAACGTTAATTTAATATAGTATTCTTACCTAAATTGGTATCCATCTTTTATTGTCCAAGTTTCAACTTTTTAATCATTCTTATTTTACGGTTTTCACTTTTTTAACACTATATTTTTTTCATGTTTAGGTTAATCCATTTTGTGCACACAATTTCCCTTCTTTCATCCTCAAATTTTTTCACTGTTTTAATCTTCTGGGTTGTGTTAGTTGTATACACTTCTGGAGATTAAAAAACCTTTCGAAAAAAACTCATAATGCAGTTTGTGTGACTTTTTTTTAAGTTTCAGTATAAATGAGGTAAACTCCTGAAGTTTAAAACATCTGCTTTAAGGTAAAAATACAACTTAACTTTTAAATCAGTTAATTTACCGTAAATATGCTCTGAGGCGCACATAACGTGTTTATTTAGAGTAGGAAGAGCAATTCAATAGAAATTCATACAAGCGTTTCGTGAATGCATCTCTCTGCATGAAAAAGACTCAATTTAAAGACAGATAGATTAAAACATATTCCCACAAATACTTTTCAAGTCGCGTAAAGAAGCATATAAAACCTATACACATGTACTCGTACACTGATCATTATTTAAAACCCCGAGCGTGTGAATAAAAAAAAACATTCTACGCTGATTTTTTTTTGAACATTAACTTGTTAGAAGTTGCATGATATTTTAATAGGCTTTGATAACAATGATCTATTTGTATTCAAAACAAAATCGATATAAATAAGTAAAATAAACACACACAAAAACTCCTGCCCTATTTTCGCGTCTCCTACAAGATACTCATATAAATAAAACCTGCCGTGAGTTTGAATCCATGTCAGCTAAGCATGACAGCGACACTCCCTCACTTTGCCCAAAATTTTTCCAATGTCAGTCACTGACAGGTCATGATGACCTGACTGTCGCGTTAAGGTTACTTGGCTAACCTTTATCAAACAATTCCTCCGTCTGTTTTTAGACTTCCAGTCGCTTATTTACAATCAAATATTTCTCCTCGGCTTTATTTATTGGTTCAATATAAAATTCCTGGTGACAATTGGGGGGAATATATTTACCCAATCATTACTAAAAATATGTTGCCTAAGACAAAACATTTATACCCACTGGCACAAACTATATCCATTCGGCAAAATCTTTCATGCTTTCTACCAGCTGTCAAATTATTACAGGAAAAGTCCAGCAATTGGCACCCAAAAAAGTGATTTCAAGGATATTTGCAAATTCAAGTAAGTAAATTTAGTTTCTTGCTTTAATTGATCATATACAGGAATACAGTTTTTGTAAATGTGGCTCAAACATGTAAAATCCCTCACTAATATTTATTTGGACTTGGTTTTATAAAAGACCATTTTTAATTGGCACATTCAATTCAAGCAGTCAAATTTAACATTTCTACTACTATGCTTTTCCAAATTCACTAACGAGTCCAGTGGCTAGACTGAATTGACTAAACAGCCAGACAACTAACATGTAAGTTATATACAAATAAAAATAAATATTTATTTATCCAATACAAATATAGACAAGAAGAAAAAAAAAACCTTCAAAAAGTACAAATGACCTTAAACTACTGTCAACCACCAAGGTCACAGGCAAAAACAAACACCACATGGTGACGACCAGACATACATATTGCTTAACGTAGTCCACATAAACCATACTGTGGGAAATGAGCGGGTGAGAGAGAGAGAGTGGAAGAAATAGGTTTTAATGTCCACTCAACACTATATCGACAGGAGTGAAACCTGGCATACCTAGCGAAAACTCATGAGGCTTGGCAGGCAATCGTACTCCCAGTCACGTACAAACCAAGGATCAAACCCACAAGTTATTAATATAACACATCTTAAATATGATCTACGACGCATGTGTTTGACCACTTGGCCATCCTCTATCCCCACACTATCTGTTTTAAATGAACATATTAACAAATATATTGTAGATCTTCAACAAAACATAATTTTGTTTTTAAGTGGTATCAAGTGTTCTGGAAAGGGTTAAGCATACTTTAATACATGCATGAGATTTTACACTTATTATCACTTTGGTCACAAAATTCTGAAAATGTTGATATGCCAAAGGTTCTCAGAATGACCAGTGGCATGTTAAAGAAGGCTTAAGGAATATATACATAAAGTAGAGTAGGGAGGGGTGGGGCTGGGCTGTCAAAATGTTTTAGTACCATCAATAAAATCAATGTAAAAATTTTATTCAAATTCGAATCCCATTATTAAATGTTCAAATTCTGTACCTTGTGGAACTGACCACTAAAACTCACTGAATTTAAAATGTTGCAAGTGTACATTTCAGTCTGGTGCGGCAAGAATATATACAATTCTTGATTAATAAAACATGTCCAATTTATAATGGAATGGAATCGGATTTACTTTAAGACTAACATACAGTAAATTTATTTCGATATGGAGGAGTGGGACATGAAGCAATTTGTATACTCTTTTTCGAGCTGCAAAGTTAAGTTTTGCAGATACTGCCATTTTGTACACAAGACATTGGTTTTTCGTCCCATCGAAATCATGTAAAACACAGGTGATCTCCCTGTCAAGTGAGAACCAATTTTTCAGGCGATGTCACAGTTTTGAATCTGTATGCAATCTGAATGGATCCATATTTTCTAGGTTTTGATAAAAAAAAGTAACATAACTCAGCTTTGATATACATAATATACAATAAAAGTACTTGACATATTTGCATGTGAAATGGTTGACTGACATGATATTCAGTCCAGATATTCAGTCCAGTATAGTACTCAAAAGACATACCAGTAGTAAGAAAACATAAACCCAAAAATATCTATTTAAAAGATAAGCGCAACTCCAAATCAAGATTAAATGTAACAATGGCAAAGATTTCTAGTGGAGTGTTTCATACAAAGAAAAGTGACGCAACATGATCAATAACTTTTCGATTGTAATATATTCGTTTTGACATGAAAACAGGAAACCAAATAGATTCGTAATTGATGATTTTTCACGTTGAGTCCTATGTACAAGGAACCAAACCAAGCCATAACACCGAGTTTGATAAAACAGGGTGGTTTTTTGTCAACACAAGCTGGGATTCAAGTCCGTGTAATCTTGTCCACCACAATCCCTTTTATAATCCGCTTTCTAGTTTAGGAGTATTGGCAAAATCTTTGATTTGTAAACCAGGTTGCCAAGTCAGTGAAATATGCACCGAACCGATTAAAAATGTTTCTATAGATCTCCTATTATTATATTAAACACAATCAAATATTGTGTCAAGTCAAAGGTTGAATGCCCGAAAAATAATTATAAATAGTACACAAAAAAAAATTATTGGCTTGAACACATAGCGAGTTAACTTTAGATCATAAAAAGTTCTGGCAATCCTGGTGAACAATCAGAAGGGTAAATTTGGATAAAGCTAGTAAAAACTCCAATGTGAAACCTCGGACCAACACTGAAGCGTGTACATGTATTGAATCAAAAACGAGGTCCACGAAGTTAAAAAAAAAAAAAATTATTTGAATAAATTTTCTTGAGTGACTTGAACAGCATAGTCAGGTGATTAAAAATGTTCATGTTCCCATAAATAGAGTTCAGGACACTGCTGTATGCATCAAATAAACATTTGCACATTCGATGGATTTAGTAGTTGAATAGGGAAATTTTTGCATGATCTGTTTGCTTTCAGCGTTTTTTGTCTTTAAAACTGGAGAGTTTACGAGTGTGGTCTCTTTATCGCTTTAAGACTCATTTTCAAACAATCGAGACATTGCACTGAACTTAAGTTTTTTAAAAAAGAATTTGTCCTTACTCTACATAAGAAAAAAAGAAATCTTTTTTAACCAACTTCATAAAATGGGTACCGATAAATTTGCTTGAGCAACATAACCCACTGAATTTTGACTGCTGCTAAAATGTTTTAATATGCACCAATTAATTTGCGTACCAATGAAAAACCACAGAATTTTGACAGTTGATTAAAATGTTTTAGTTCAAAAGAATTTGTAGGCTGTATGAATTCCTCAAGGGATAAGTGTTATCAATTATCATCCATTTCCGACAGAAATTAGAATAAACGTTCGTCATAGAATCCTTTTTTTTTTTTTAAAATAGTATGTTTTTTGCTTTTCTTTTCAATGACATAGTTAATTATTTTAAAAAATGGGCTTACTAAAGATTATGAAAATTAAACATTCTCAATGTGCCGACTGCCAACAGTCATTTTCCTAATATAAATTTACTAAAAAAGTGGGTCGAAAAGTATATTTAAATAGTAATCTGGATAATGATATTAAAAAATCTAGGTTAGATTATTTCATTGTTCAGTGAGGGAAACAAGTTATTCTTCAACAAGTGACTGACATTCTAAGATAGGAGCACAAACCGAGATTGTCAACCGGAAAATCTTGGAATTTGATCCCTTACTTATCTTAATGTTAGTGGTAAGCATGTGAGATGCCAATCAAATAACAGTAGTTGTTAAAAAGGGAATTTAGCATGGGTCCCAAACACCGGGAGAACCCAAACACTGAAAGGACCATACTAAAATATGGGTGTATTCAGCAGCACCCACAATGCACTAGAATGTTTCATTTCATTTCCAATAATCAAATATGGCAACAATATGAAAATTAGCATGGTAATTGAGTGTATAATCTAGACTTTAAATATTCATTTTCCTTTATCATGTAAGTAAATAACTGTAAAAGCATTATCACCATTTCGCTTTCAAGTGCAGTACATGATAATATGTAAATATTTTATTCAGAAGATATTTTTAAACATTAGACTCATTGAGAACATAAAAGAAATAACTTTATGCACTAGTAGGCCAGAACTGTGACAAATATAGAAATTCCTTTAAATAAAAATGGAAATAGACTTTGCACTTAAAAATGTTGCCTTCCGGTCAATTTTTGCCTTAATTTGTTTACTTTGCATCAGCAAGATATTTTTTGATCTGAAAATGTCAATTTTTAGCATTACTCCAATTTGTATATACATTTTTAAGTGTTTTATCAAATATAAACTATGTAAATTGACTGACGTATAGGTTCCTCGGACGGTCAAGTTCACTGTCAGTGGGTCAAAACTGGCAAATGTGACTGAAACGAGAGAGTCATTTTATGTCCCACACAAGATTTACCATGGACAAAAAGGACAAAATCACTTGACTTAACTTAATGTAACTTAACGTAACTACCATGTATTAATGTTACTTCTTGATCGATACTCTTAATTCTATGTATAAGCAAGTATGTCATTCTCATAAAAAAAAATGTTAAATATCTGCATTCCACCAACGCAAAATCGACCATGAACAAGGATATAAAACATAATCGACCCAACTCATTTAAATTATGATGAAGTATCAGTGTTTTTCAGTAATAAATACGTTTAAAATTATTTGTATAATAATATGTAAATATGCCATTCTCTTATGGAAGAGTCAGTTCTTTAGATGTGTAAGAATAACATGCCTTTTTTTCTGTTATATTTTTACAATAGCGTTGTGCAAGGATCAGTAATAACAGGAACTATCTAAGAACCAGGGATATTTTCTTTTCCACGCGTTCTCTTCAATAATATGGAATAATCAATACTATGACCGACTTTTACGCAATTTTCTCCCTAACAATCGATACATGCACATGAACTCCCGCAGATTGTTGCAACAGCTCAACAAAGTTCAGGGTTTCCAAAATGGTTTTGTGTTCATTCTAATCTTGGCTCAATGGAAAATAAAATCATCTACGAGTTTCCTCTCCACGTAATAACATAGTTTCAGACATTACTACAAACGCAAGCTTAATGGTCGATTATAGTTTAATGTTTCTATTCTCGGATCTCGGTCAATTAATTTATCCATGTATATATATATATATATATATATATACATATAGTGAGAGAGATAAATAAGCAAGTGTTGAAGTCCTTAAAGATACCTTCTTCCTTTTTCTAAACGAATAAAATCTGAAAAAAAATGTCAATGGATTTTGACAACTACTCGGAATCCATACCTGAAAAGGATCTTATCAGTCTGCCTAGAAATTCTCAAGTTATGTAATGGAACTTTTTTTCTGTATTTTTCCGAATTTTAAATCTCAAATCTGAAGTTCATTCATTAAAGGCAAAGGGTCATTTAGATGTGATAGAGGGAAATCCATCTGAGGGTAAAGGGTCTTGTCATTTAGATGTGATAGGGGGAAAACCCATTTGAATGGGTGGGGTTTTGTCGT